CTGAAGTTGGTATTTTTCATTATGGCTGTTTTCTTCAAGCACTAACAGATCAGGATTTCGACTAGATTCTTCAGATGCAAGAGAGTTATAGAATTCAGAACCCCTCAGTCTGCTTGCTGTATTCCAAGAGGAGTTTGCATCCATGGGTTTCTCTTGCAAATCTTCTGCATTGACAGATGGTTGCATTTCATCACATGAGAACAGGCAGCTTGGACAATCATCCAGTCCCAAAGTTCTTGAAAGCTGCAGGTTCTCAAGCCCCACATGCATGGGCTGACAGGGCAGATCAGGATTTTCGCAATCCATTGCAGCTTGTAATTGAAGTGATTCGTGTTGTTCCTGTGCCAGTCTGCTTCTACAGCAGCCATTTGCTGCAGAGCTCTCTTCTGGAAAGAAATATAAATTCAAATTTCAAAAACCTTTAAATGCATATTCCTACTTAAAAGGCCGATTGAAAAATACTTTTAATTGTAGTACTTATGTTAGCAGTCAGACCCCTCCGCTTGCTGAGGGGCAGTTTATAGCCAGACAATCATAAACACCCTCTCTAAAATATCCCAAATATCATAAATGCAATACGCTGCCTGGCCCAAAGTGACACAAAAATGGATGCCAGCCAGAGACAAGCCTGGATATTTAGTTTAGAATTGTGAGAAAGAGTGGCTGGATAGCTAAGGATTCTCTCCATACACCCTAAGGAGATGCATAATTTAGGAACAACGGTTCTTAGAACCTGTTGCGCCTCTCATTGGACTAATCCCGACAGCTTCACTTCCCCTCAACCATTTACTTAATTAAGCAACACTTAACACTATTCACCAAATCTGGTAGCTTTTCCCATCCAGTACTTGCAGGGTCATCAAACACCATTTACACCTACAGTCAACCTCAGGAAATCCCATCAAGCGTCTCCCAAATCATTGTCTACTTCCAAAAAAACCATCAAGTTATTGTTTTGAGGGCAAATACATCAGCCTGTCACAGGCAGAGTTTTGCCCTACATCTGGAGTACTTAGCCACCTCTGTGTGTGTATTCTTGGATCCCCTGCATAACCCCACTTGTGTGTGGTCATTCTCTTTCACTCCCCAAAATGCTGGTTGTTGTGCTGCTGCTTCCGTGGACCTCTAATTATAGCCTCCTCAAAACTGCTTTCCCCCTCTCCTCCCTGATTTCCTCTTAGTTAACAAGTGTGTTTGTGTGTGTGTTGCTCTTTTATTCTGTTTTAATAAGAAAACCTTACCAGTGGAACATCTGCCTAGTTTATTTTAAGCACTCTCTCAAGGGAAAAATATCCCTCAACATAGGTGGAGAATCCCAGTTACCCCCTCTTGCTCTGTCTCCATAAAGCTAATTTCCCCAACTAATTAGGAGACTGCCTCTTAGAGTAACACTTAGACATGTCATCTAGCAACCTATAATAGGAGACTGCCTCTTAGAGTAACACTTAAGACATGTCATCTAGCAACCTATAAGAAAGAGAGAGTGAGAGTGAAGTGCTGTCAAGTAGCAGCTGACTTATGGTGACCTCCCATGGAGTTTTCAAGGCAAGACACACTCAGAGGTGGTTTCCCATGCCACCCATGCATAGCAATCCTGGACTTCCTTGGTGGTCTCCCATGTAAGCACTAACTAGAGCCGATCTTGCTTAGCTACTGCAATCTGATGAGATCAGGCTAGCCTGGGCCATCCAAGTCAGGGCAAACTGAATCACAAGTACAGAACACTATTGGGGAATTTAACATTTAGATTGGCCACCATGTGGCTATAAACAAAAACATTTTCCCTACTGGTGCAGCATTTACTCTTTCTAGTGACTTCACTGTGGCATAGTTTTCACCTACCAATGGCAGAAACCATAATCTAGTTTCAGCTCTAGCCCTGGATCTGGGAGTGCTGTGTTGGAGTATCAACCAAAACACAGGCTCAGAGAAGTGACCTGGTTGCAAGGGCATGATCCAGGGTATCAACCAAAACACAGGCTCAGAGAAGCTTTGGGAACATCCCAGCCTTAATTCCCAGTCCATAAAATAGAAAATGGTGCAAGGGCATGATCCAAGTTCCTCTTCCCCCTCCTCACAAAACATAAAAGTGCTTCCTGATGGTGGGGGGACTTGTGAGAAACTCATGGAGAAATTCCTTTACTGGTCCCCTGCTTTCTCCTCCAGCTTCTTGTTACCCCTCCCAACTTCCTCTGTCCCTACTGCCGCCTCCTCCCAACTCTTTCCTTCCTCACCAGCCTTCTCCACCCTTAAGCCCTCCCCAGCTGTCCACCACCTTCTTGCTTCCCCTGTTTCCTTGATCCCCCTCCTTTGCCACCAAGAAAGGAGTTAAGGTTGCAACTTGTCGCTGAACCTCCAGAGGAACTGGTTAGCCACTATGTGAGACGGGCTGCTGGACTGGATGACCCACTGGGCTGATCCAGCAGGACTCTTCTTACATTTGGAAGAGGCAGGCACTAAGCACAGACCAGGGGTGGGCTGGGAGGGAACCTGCAGGTCCAGCTGCCACCTTCGCTGCTCCTTAGCAGTGCCCATTGATGGGGTGGGGTGCTGCTAAGTACCGGAGTGGTCACAGGTTGTGATACAATTACAAAGTAATACCAGCAAAAGCTATACAAAGTCCTCTGGAAAGTCCAATTCCCATCTAGCAACCTATTATACCACCTCAGCATCTTTCTATTTAAGAGCTACAGTACCCTTTTTGAATTAAATATCCTTTTAGCTAAAGACAATTTCTACAATTCAAATGGCACCTTCATTTGTAGCACTTATTTCTTTCCTTCCATGGTGACTCGTGTAATCATTCATGTTCTCCTGCAGGCTTTGCTCTCTACTCCTTTTTGCAAGTGGCAACGTTTCATCTGACCTCTGTAGATACAAAATTTAGATGAATGGTTGCTGTCAAGCCACATGTTCATCCAACACCAGAGGACTGTCATACATGCAGAAATGCCTCTTAAATTTTTCAAAGCTGCAGCATGTCAAAAGGAACCATCCATTGGCATATAATCAAAATGACACTTAAAAGTATCTACATTACAAAATGTTGCAATTTGCTTTGCTATATCAATTGTCATTCATCAATGTGGAACATGAATTCCAAAAAGAATAAACCACGATACAGTCCAATTTTATACAGAAATAGAATTACAAAGTAGAGCTATGAAGCTAAAACTTTTTATTTTCAACCAATCTATGGTGCAAAGATCACTCTTACTGACACGAAGGTACATCCGTAAAACCAGTTAATCAGAAAGCTCCATATACTGTTTTGATATTTAGAAGAAGAGGAGAGATTGGATTTATACCTCGCGCCCTTCACTACCCAAAGGAGAGCGGTTTACAATCTCCTTTTCCTGCCCCTCCCCACAACAGATACCCTGTGAGGTAGGTGGGGCTGAGAGAGCTCTCTGGAGAGCTGCTCTTGAGAGAACAGCTCTAAGAAAGCCATGACTGACCCAAGGTCACACCAGCAGCTGCATGTGGAGGAGTGGGGATTCAAACCCAGTTCTCCCAGATTAGAGACTATGCTCCTAACCGCTACACCAAATTGGCTCTTAGATTAATAGGGTAAAATCCACAGTTGTACCTCAGCTGCTCGTTTCTGTCCCGAAGCCTCTGTAAAGACGTGCTCACCAACAATTTTAACATGTTCAGAGGAAGAGCCCACTTGAATATTCTGCACTCCAAATAAATCACAATTCATTCCTAATGATTCAGCAACCTACAAAAGAAGGGTTGGTCTCATCAGGAAGTATCAGAGAGAAATAACCAAGTGTTGCTACAGTAATTACTAGAACTTTAAGGTATTGGGACATGTTACCTACACGCTTACTTTACATGTCTGTTTTACTTGTATTCTAAAGATTTACTTATAACTTAACACAGGTACGGACTACATCTCAGGCACTTAAAGGGTATTTAGCAGGAGACCATAACTAAATGGTTCCTTCAGCTTGAGTTTAGTCTGCCCAGAATGATCCAATTATTTTTACTGCACTGCATCATTTTTGGAAAGCACACTTTTTGTGGAGTGAGGTATAGCAACAGGCAATGTCAGTTTTAGTTAACATCACAGGCTTGTATCCAAATTCACCCTTAAGAACTTAAGAGAAGCCACGCTGGATAAGGCCAATGGCCCATCCAGTCCAAGGCACCATCAGGAGGTCCACCAGCAGGGCCAGAACGCCAGATGCCCTCTCACTGTTGCCTCCCCCCACCCAAGTACCAAGGATACAGAGCATCACTGCCCCAGACTGCCACGGCTCAATAAGGGTGAGTGAATTCTGTTTTTGTCTTTCTCCTTTGGACACCAACACTGCGTCCCACGGCATTTCCAAGGGTCTCTTGATCCTCAGCAGCTGCTTTCTAGAGGATGCAGAGACTACAGTGGGAAGGGAGAGGTGGGACAAATTTGGCCTCCAAGCACTGTTAGCAATTCTTGGGATCCAGCCCTCAGTAAAATGTAATACATTCCATGCCAGAGCAAATGTGAACATTTTATGCCCACCTATCCTTCATCCGTCTTCTTTTCCAGCAAGTTCTGTCTGATTTAACCTGCATGCAATGTGGCTAGTAAATGTTGGCTAGCAATGAATACCCATATTTACCAAGCCACAGTTACCTTGGGGTTTTTAATTTCCAGAGGCTCCTTTATCTCAGGATTACTGAAATACTCTTGGCACATTTTCATCACCATAGCATGCAGTTCTTCAAATTCCCTGTATATATCAGGAAAGAGCGCTTTTGCTGGGTCATCTTTTTTCACCTGGTTAAAAAAACATAAAGAGCAGCATGTTAAGTGGGCTGGCTATAAGCATCATTCACATCCACATTATAGCAACAGGAAATACTTTCAGAGATTAACTGCTGAAAGGACTTTTTAAAGAGAGTCACCGAGTCCTGTTTTTCCTCTCCAGCTCTTACTTCTCATAAGAATATAAGACATGCTGGATCAGGCCAATGGCCCATCCAGTCCAACACTCTGTGTCACACAGTGGCCAAAATCCAAGTGCCATCAGGCAGTCCACCAGCAAAGCCAGAACTCCAGAAGCCCTCCTACTCTTGCCCCCCAAGTACCAAGAATACAGAACATCACTGCCCCAGACATAGTGTTCCAGCTATACCTTGTGGCCAATAGCCACAGATGGACCTCTGCACCATATGTTTCTTCAATCCCCCCTTGAAGCTGTCCATGCTTGTAGCTGCCACGTCTTCCTGCACCACTGAGAAGTGACTCACAAAAGCTCCTACCCTGCCACAAATTCTGTTAGTCTTTAAGGTGCTACTGGACTGTTGCTCTTTTCTACTAGATATAAGCTGTAATAATAATAAAAAAGCCCACTAAGGTGCCGGCACACAATTGTTGGCCTGTGCTGGGATTTGATTCCCCACCACCGGCAATATGTTTTTCCTTGGCTCAATATGTTTAGCCAATCCCCTCTTGAAGCTGTCTGCTTCTAGCCACCACCTCTTCCTGCAGCAGTGAATCCCACATATTACTGTTTGGGCGAATAAGTACTTCCTTTTATCTGTTCTAAGCCTATTGCTCACTGACTTCATTGAGTGACCACGAGTTCTTATTTTGTGCAAAAGTGAGAGAAGTACATGATTTTGTAAATTTCTATCATGTCTATCAAGAGCCCTAAAAGCTGTCCATGCTTGTAGCTGCCACTTCTTCCTGCACCACTGAGTGAGAAGTGACTCACAAAAGCTCCTACCCTGCCACAAATTCTGTTAGTCTTTAAGGCGCTACTGGACTGTTGCTCTTTTCTACTAGATATAAGCTGTAATAATAATAAAAAAGCCCACCAAGGTGCCGGCACACAATTGTTGGCCTGCAGCTGGGATTTGATCCCCCTCCACCCCCGGCCATATGTTTTCCCTTGGATCAATATGTTTAGCCAATCCCCTCTTGAAGCTGTCTGTGCTTCTAGCCACCACCTCTTCCTGCGGCAGTGAATCCCACATATTACTGTTTGGGCGAATAAGTACTTCCTTTTATTTGTTCTAAGCCTATTGCTCACTGACTTCATTGAGCGACCACGAGTTCTTATATTGTGGGAAAGAGAGAGTACATGATTTTGTACATTTCTATCATGTCTATCAAGAGCCCTAACCTCTTTAACCTTTCTTCATAGTGAAGGTGTTCCACCCTCTTAATCATTTTAGTTGCCGTTTTCAGCACCTTTTCCAATGCTATAATATTTTCTGAGATGTGGTCACCAGAACTATACACAGTACTCTAGATGAGGCCACACCACAGATTTATACAGGGGTATTAGGATACTAGGAGCCGCAGTGGCTCAGTGGTTAAGAAGCTGAACTGAGGCCACACCACAGATTTATACAGGGGTATTAGGAGAGTCGGACTCGACTGTGCGACTGAACAACAACAAATTAGGATACTAGGAGCCGCAGTGGCCCAGTGGTTAAGAAGCTGAACTGCAGACCGGAAGGTTAATAGTTCAGCAGTTCGAGACCCAAGTGCTGTGTGATGGAGTGAGTTCCCATCTCTGGTCCCAGCTCCTGCTAACCTAGCAATTCTAAAGCAAGAAATTGCAAGTAGATAAATAGGTACCGCTTTGGTGGGAAGGTAACAGTGTTCCATGCACCTTGGCGTCTAGTCATGCCGGCCACATGACCATGGAGAAGTCTTTAGACAGCGCTGGCTCTTCGGCTTGGAATCAGAGATGAGCACCGCCCCCTACAGTCGGATTCGACTGGTTTTCGAGCAAGGGAAACCTTCACCTTTTTATTATGATACTGGCTGATTTGTTTTCCCAGCACAGCATTTCCCCTTTTTTATTGCAGTCACACACTGAGCTGACATCTTCAATGAGTTATCCACCATGACTCTAAGATCTCTCACCTTGTCAGTTACCACCAGTGTGGCCACCATCAATGTATATTTATAGTTAGGATTTTTGGCTACAGTATGCATTACTTCGCACTTGCCCACACTGAACCTCATTTGCCATGTTGATGCCCACTCCCCCAGCCAGATCCCTCTGGAGTCCTCCCTGGTTCTCACTGCCCTGAACAACTTAGTGTCATCTGCAGACTTAGCCACTTCACTGCTTACCCCAACGCTAAATCATTAACAAACAAGTTAAAAGGCAATGGGCCTAGCTAGAGATGTAACATTTCCGGAGGGAAACCGGAAATTTTTGGAAATTTTTTAAAAAATGCTACATTAAGCACTTTTTTTTTCTTTTTCAGATTGAAAGTCATTCTGTAACTTTAGGAACATAAAATATGACTATGGACATTTTTACTTGGCATGAAATTATCACAGCTAGCATATTAAAAATATATTGTATCCAAACAATTGTTACAAACAGAATACCCACCCGCATGCAAAAACAAAACTGAAACCTTTTTCTTTTCTTGTGACAATAGCGCCTCCTAAAGGAAGAAATGCATCTTGTTCTTGCATTGGAGAGTTCAGTTTGTAACCTAGCACTTGCTTGTCCTCAGTGCACAGAAATTAGATCAATCTGATACCATACATATTTTTTAGAAATGATTTGAAAAATATTTGAACACCTTGTCTTAAAATATTTTATTCATCTAAAATAAAATGTTCCATAATCAATTTTTCTTTTCTTTTTTCAATTTGTCGGGAAAAAACAAGAAAGACTTCAAGGAAAAACCGGAAAAACCCATTTCCCCCCCGAATTTTTCTGGTTTTTTCCTGGGCCTTCACATCTCTACCTAGTACCGAGCCCTGCGGTATCCCACTGCTTATCATCTTCCACCCATTTATACTCACTGTTTCCTGTTAATTAACCAGTTTTTAACCTGTTTTAACATCTACTAGGTCACCTATTTGAACCTTTCCTAATCTGCAGTATACATTGTATTTGAGCTTCCAATACTGTCATTTTAAATCATCTCCTAGCTTCCCGAAAGGATTTGAGCCTCCTTTCCTTTCAGTTTCTTCTTCACAAACCCCCTCATTTTAGAGAAGTTACCACTTCTAAAATTAAATGTGGTTGTGTTGGTGTCAGCTCTGCTGCCATTGTACGTGGAGGGAGGCGGGAGGCTGCTGGATGAACAACTTAATGTGCTGTAATGTTAACTTTCATTTCTTCCGCTGTGCCTTATCTTTTATCCTGATTGGCTCAACTCCATCAGGGGACCCCACTTTGAATCCTGTATATCTTCCTTTCTCCCACCCTTAGGGTTAGTTCTAACACTGAATGTATGCACAGATGACCTGCCTTTACTGTACTCAATAAACTCGATCCTTCTGAAGGAACGTTGTTGAGACTGATTGCTGTAGGACTCTGACAGTTGGTCTCTTGGGGCAACTCCCTATTTACATAAATGCTAAACTTAATAGCATTGTGGTCACTGTTCCCAACCAGTGCTATCACATTTACATCTCTCACCAGGTATTTAGCATTACTTACGATCAAGTCCAGGATCCCCTCCCCCTGGTAGGTTCAATGACCATCTGCTCCATGGCAGCGTCACTGAGAGTATCTAGAAACCCAATCTCTTTCTCCTGACTTGAACACATATGGACCCAATCAATGTGTGGGTAGTTAAAAATCACCTGTTATGACAGTTATTTTGTCTAGCTGCTTTCCTTAATTCTTTTGCTGTTTAAGTCATCCTCTAACCTTTGATCTCGTGAGCAATAACAAACTCCCAGAGTTAAGCTTCCTTTTTGGGCCCACTATTTCCACACACAGTGTTTCTGTAAGTGAATCTATTTCTTATATTGTCAGTTTTCCTGGACTGTATACCCTCTCTGACATACAGAGCCACTCCACACCTATCCTTCTGATATCAGTTATATCCAGGAATCACTGCATCCCACTTAGTCTGACACTGTCTCTCTGGATAACACTGGCTGCTCTGCCCTTGCAATGCGGCGGGGATTTGCAAACAGGAATAATAGCCTTGCTTCTGTAATGCTACAAGGGAAGCTAAATACCTGAGTTTTAACAATTCTAGGGATTGCAGAGGTTGATTCCCAAAGGTTACGAACATCTGGAATGCCTTTTAATCAAAGTAGTGCATACGTCATGCTGAGAACATGACAACACAAACTGGTTGGGAAATTTGAGTCTTTGGAGGGAAGCTACTAGCCTCTGACAAATGGCACTTCTCAGGAGAAGAATCTATTATTGAAATAACTATTAAAGCTGGATTCACAGGTTCTGATCCACTAATGGTGGAGCCTGCCTTCAGCATAAGAGGCATGCTCCACAGGAGAAAGACCCTGCTATTAGTGGAGCAAAGCAAGTGGATCCATTCTCACTTTCAGACTTCCCCTTGACCATGCCCCACTTTACTTTTGATTTGGCGTCAACCTCAGCTCCACAGCAGGAAGACTGACTTAAGGCAGTTGTCCGATGATAGTGAAATATTTCCCCATGAAGAAGAAGAAATTGGATTTATACCCCACCCTTCTCTCAGAGTCTCAGAACGGCTTACAAACTCCTTTCCCTTCCCCTCCCCACAACAGACACCCTGTGAGGTAGGTGGGGCTGGGAGAGCTCTTTCCAGAACCGTCCTTGAGAGAACAGCTCTGACAGAACTATGGCTTGTCTAAGGTCATCCAGCAGCTGCAAGTGGAAGAGTGGGGAATGAAACACAGCTCTCCCAGATTAAAGCCCACACACTTAGCCACGACACCAAACTGGCTCTCGACACAGCAAGAACTTACTGTGCAGACTCTAACTAAAAAGATTTCTGCAACCTCTAATTCCTTCCTTATTTACAAGAGTGGTTTGTATCATTTAATGTGTCCTGTTAATACCTATGCTTGACTTCAGTTCTGTTTTTAGACTTCTGATTGGTTCTACAAGCCTAATTCCTATCACAGTGCTCACTGAATGTCCCATCTGGTTGAATGTATTGCCTTGTTCAGCGTAATCCGCTTCACTCAGGGTAATCCGCCTTGTCCAAGTGAGAAAGATGAACTACAAATAACATAAATAAATAAGAATGCAATGGCTCAATCAGCACATTCTTAGCCCAAAATAAACTTTAACCTGATTAAAGAAGCTTCAGCTGCTTAGACTGTGAAATTTCAAGACTTAACATTATAAACTTGCCTTCATAAGTAGGAATTCAAACACAGTAACAAATGCTGTAAGATGTGGAACCACCAACTCCATGAAATCTTCACTGGTGTATTGCTGAATCAGCTGTTAAAGACCACAATGATTTCTTTAGAGAAGCCATAAATCACATTGCTAAAACGCCAACTCTAAACATATGAGGATTAAGAGAGAAAGAAGGATATATGAAATCATGGAACGCAAGTCAAATCAGCGAGTAATATCAATTTTAGGAATTAGCTCCTATCTTCATTACCAGGATAGAAGCTGTTTACGGTGCATTTAAAGAAATCCCAAATGGTAATACCCAAAGAAACTTCACACTACCTATGTAGGAAACAGATGTACAAGACATATACACCATCACATGAACCACTTATGGCAAACTTTCCCAGTTGTGAACAGATACAGCACGAGCACACCATGCCAGTTTTATTTCAAACACTCCCCTTTCCTTAACCACAAGAACTGCTAATTACTATGCACTGTGTCAATTAGCTGTACACGTTTTAGTTCATTCAAATGGCACCAATGTGCATACTAACCTAATTATTCCGGCAAAAGCACACACACTTAGTTTCAGAAAACTGTGAGTAAATAAAGCTTATGGAACAGATCACTGCCGCATCTCCCCTCTTGCTGCAGCTCTGAACCCCTTCCGAATGCTGCTCTTGAGGGTCAGGGACCCTCCGGAACAACACAAGATGCGGCATGGAAGGCTGCAGTGGGAATCCACAGCAATCATCACCTTGTGCCAGTGGAAGGCTGCCCATTGTAAAGTGAGGAGGGGGAGAATAGATCCAATTTAAATGCTTGTAAATGGTGCACAGAAGCATTGCAATAGGTAGTATCTTAAAAGGGGAAATGCCTCTAAGCTCATATCTGCATTTTCATAAACATGCCCTTTTAATATATCCATGTCACCCTATGAGCAGTGTTCCCTCTAAGCTGAGTTAGTGTGAGCCAGCTCACAGTTTTTTAGCCTCCAGCTCACACATTTTTGTCTTTGTTCAGGAAGGATGGCACCAGAGCAAACTAATTTAGGCAGCAGCCAAATCACTCACTCACAACTTTAGCGCCAGTAGCTCACAAAGTAGAATTTTTGCTCACAAGACTCCACAGCTTAGAGGGAACATTGCCTATGAGCCAGGGGCACTGTTTAATATGATAAAAAGGCTTTGAATAGACTAGTTAATCACAAAAAGAGCCCTGCTGGATCAGTGGTACATCTAGTCCAGCATCCTGTCTCACATAGTGGCCAACCTGGAGATTTAACAACAGGACATAGAAGCTTCCCAATGTTGCCTCCTGGCACTGAGATTCAGAGGCTTACTGCTTCTGAACATGGCGGTTCCCTCTACCCACCATGGCTAGTAGCCACTCACAGATCTATCCTCCATGAATCTGTCTAATCCCCTTTTAAAGCTATCTATGCCTGCAGCTATCACTATATCCTCTGGCAGCGAATTCCACATTTTAATCACTCGCTGTGTAAAGAAGTATTTTGCCTGTCCTATATCTACTGCCCATCAGCTTCACTAAAAGCCCAGAAGTTCTAGTATTTGGGGAGAGAGGGAAAAGTTCTTCGGCAACCGTCTCCACTCCATGCACAACTTTATAAGCCTCTATCATGTCACCTGTTAGTAATTTCTTTTCTAAAATATAAAGTCCCAGAATCTTCGGCCTTTCATCACATGGAAAGCACTCCAACCTCCTAATCATCTTGGTTGGCCTCTCCTGTACTTTCTGCAGCTCTGTGATGTCCTGTGGAGATGCAGTGACCAGAACTACACACAGAATTCCAAATGAGAGAGACCACACCATAGATCTATACAGAGCCATTATAATATTAGCTGTTTTATTTTCAGGCCCTTTTTCACTGCTACAGCACAGTGGGTCTAAATTAACTGACTAAAATCACAACCCTAGAGAGGAAGGTAGACTCTGGTTCTGATGAGGACAGAAAAGCAGGGTATATAAATTTTTTCAATAAAACAAATAAAATTGTGCAATTATGAAAACAAGTCATACCTCTTTTAGCCTAGCTTTCCTTCTAAATACACTGTGATGCTCTGCAGGTATACTGTTACATGACTTGGAAGGGAACTGTCCAGGTCTGCTAAATCTTCCAGGATATTTTGATCTTTCAGCATTCCTTGGGCGGCCACGGCGCCTTGGTTTCCGAGGTCTCCCCGGACTCAAGTGTAACAAACGGATGTCCTTTTGATGTACTGCAACCGTTCTCTTTCCTCCACCTGTATCAGACTTTTAATAGAAAACTAAACGTCAGAACAGTCTTTTCAACACTCTGGCCTTTATGTATTTATTTTCCAGCCTGAAATGATGGCAGCAATAACCTTTGAGCCCATGCCCCAAAGTACACACTTGTCAAATCAAGCAAGGAAACTCATTTGTTGAAGGCATACTATGCCAGACTGACAGTGGTCTGTGCTTACCCCATTACTACATCACTGCATCATGGGTAGAGTTTGTATCCAGTCTAGGGGTACCTCGCAAAGGGAGCCTTGACTCTTGAAAGCCTACATCAAGGGTGGCCAAACTTGCTTAACGTGACAGCCACATAGTATAAACGTCAGATGTTTGAGAGCCAGAAGACATGAACAAATATTACGCATTTTTACTGGGAAATATGCAAATTTGCTTTTTATTAACATTATAAATGAGACTGCTAAAAATAACAACAAAAGTGGTAAAAGCAGATATCGATAATGATATTTATTTGTCCAATGATGTTTGTTTGCTAATGATATTTAGCTTCCCTAGCCACCCTGCCAGGAGCCACACAATATGTGTGAAAGAGCCACAGTTTGGTCACCCCCGGCCTACACCTTGGAAATCTTGCTGGTCTCTAAGGTGCTACTGTACTCAAATCTCGCTCCGTGAATAATTCACAATGCTGGGATTGTGTCCTCAAATTTACTAAGGGGACAAAATAAACCTTTTTACCTGTTGCCCATTTTCTGTGGCATCTGCCTTTTCATTTGTTACAGTACCCTGTGGGGGTACAAGAGTCCGATGGCTACTTTCACCGTTTGCTTTCCCAGTGTCTTCCAGCAATGTCACACTACAAAGCCGATTCACAGGGGAAGATGGTGAAGATTCTTGTGGCCCGTGGTCAGGATTCAATCTGTAATGTCGTGCTAATCCTCCTTTTCCTATGTAGGATTTTTCACAAGTCTGACACTTGAACAATTTTGGCCTCAAGTCATAGGTCAAGGGACCAAACAAGGGCATTTCCTTCTCCTTGCCCTCTTCATCCTCTTCTACGCTGAGCTCAGAATAGTCATCAGAATCAGACTGATGACAGTCCGCCAAGTCTTCAGTTTTAATAAATTTGTAATCCTTAGCTTTATATTTGGGAGGACGTGAAATCCGCCCAGATCGGGTTTTCACCTTCAGGTTCTTTTTAAGTTTTTGTTCTCTTTGTTTCTTCTCACAGTTTACGATAGGGTTTGCTGGATTTTTTGAATCCACAGTACCACATGGAGTTTGTGTAAAGGACTTGTTTCTATGCTCATTTAATGTTTGGTGTGTCATTATCTTATCTGCAGATACTTGTCCATGGGAATGTAAAGGTCTCTGCAGAAGCAGCTGAATTGCTGGCCCAGAGGAGTTGTGTAAGAAAAACTGATGTGATCCAGTCACTGTAAGAGGCTCTATCCTAATGATCTGAGGATTAACAACATTGAGTCCCAAAATCTTTGCATTCTTCTCAACTGGCTGAGCTGTGGTTACATTCCGGGGTTGATTTGTGGCAAAAAATACTGCTGGTCTTTCATTTTCTTTTGTCTGATCAGGCTGCACTGGGACACACATGGTTTCCAAATGCTTTAAGAAATAAAGATTATTTAAGCATAAGATTACATAGACTTCTCTCAAACTCTTGAACATTAGAGACCTACAACACCATATTGCTTTCCAAACAGATCTGAACTAGTATTTAAATTGATCCTTTTTAATTTAATCTAGATCTCCTATACACAGAAAAACATTACTCACAGTAATGTTATTATAAGGACATCTTGCTATTAATGCAAAATATTCTAGCTCTTCTAGTAGGAATTAGAAAAGAGCAATAGTCCAGTAGCACCTTCAAGGCTGAAAGCTCATACCCTGCCACAAACTTTGTTGTTTCGTAAGATGCTGCGAGACTCTTGCTCTCTTCTCCTGCTACAAACAGATTAACACAGCTACCCATCTTGATCTAGCAGGAATTAAAGGCCAGGAAGAAGAGTAAAAAAAAAAAAGTCCCTAAAGGAGGATGACTTTCTGCAATGCAAGTGAAGGAGACTTGTCTCATTCTGCTCTTTTTACCTGCCACAGGAAGTGACTGAAGTAAAGCCAAAGCAGTGGCACTCACTCCCACAAGACACAACATTCCAGAGTCTTTAACGCTGCAGTCCACTTGACCCCCTCCCTCCCTGCAAGGGTTGCCAACTCAAGGCTGGAAAACTTCTGAAGATTTTGTAGTGGAGCCTGGAGAGGGAACTCAGTGGGGTATAATGCCAAAGAGCGCACGGCAAAGCCGTCATTTTCTCCAGAGGAAGTGATTTCCAGTCTGGAGAGCAGCTATAATTCCAGGAGAACTCCAGACCCCACCCAGAGGTTGGCAAGGCCCGGCATGTATAAAAGACACCCCAGAAAACCATTCCGAGCCACCCTCCCGCCCTCCTCCTCCTCCTCCTTCTGTAACTCCACAGACGTGCCTGGGGTGGAAGCAGCCTGGCGGGAGGAACAGCAGTAGCGCCCGCTTCCGACTTGCCCTGCTGGAGGGCGATCCGCCGGGCTACATCCTGCAACTGCTGCGCCGCGTTGTGCGGGGCCTGGGACACTAGCAGGGGCTCCGTAGGAGGGTCGGTCGAGCCGCCGAAAGGCCGCCTTGCGGAGGAAGTGGCAGGGAGCGCCAAAGAAGAGCCGCTCTCCGCGGCCGCCAACGAAGGCCCCACGTTCCTCGGAGGAGCTGGGGCGGGAGCCGGCTGCTGTAGGAGGCCGAAGGACAACACCAGCTCCGTGGCGGCCTTTCTTCCAGGAGGCGCCTCGCCGGACGGCCCTTCCTCGGCCACGACCCCCAACCGCTGGTCCTCAGCCGCAACCGCGGGATGATTCTGGAAGAGCTGCGCCGGTAGAGCAGCCCCAGAGGGAGCCGCCGGCCCCTGAGCAACGGCATCGTCGTTCCCGTCAGAAAGCGACAAGGCAGCGTCCCCTTCGCTTTCCACAAGAGCCGCCATCTTAATGCCGGTCCGCGGCACACGGTTTGAAGAGACGATCAACCATAGAGACCGGAAAGGGCTCGGGAGAGGACTTCCGGTTTAAAAGTGGAAAGCCGCTATTGGGCACGGAGGAGGCGTCGCGGAGAAGAGCGACGCCTCTTTCTATTGCACTGGAATGATTCCAGCGGAGTAGTGCAACAAAATTAAAACGGGAGAGTGGCTCATTAAAGGGTTACAAACTTTATTCCAGCATAAGCGTTCCTCAGTCACGCCTCACTTCCTCGTATCTATATATCTAACTCTCAACAGTCCCCTAAATCCGCAGATGGGGACATAGTGCTTTAAAGAGCCCCTAACGAGAGCTGGGGGCACCGGAATTTGCCCCTAGGAGTCCAAGGCCACCACCCCGGGGCTCAGGGAGGAGGGGGAACCTTTCTCTCCCCCCACCCACGGCCATAACTTTTTAAAGAGCCCCTAACCAGAGCTGTGGGAAGGTAACAGCGTTCTGTGCCTTGGTGTTTAGTCATGCTGGCCACAAGACCACAGAAACGTCTTCGGACAGCGCTGGCTCTTCGGCTTTGAAACGGAGATGAGCACCGCAACCCTAGAGTCGGACTCGAATTGGCTTTCGAGCAAGGGAACCTTTACCAAACCCGGAATGACCACGCCTGTGTGTCACCCGTGAGAGGTGGAATTTGCCCGTAGGAGGACATCACAGGAGAGAGGTGGAATTTGTCCCTATGAGTCCAGAGCCGGAATGACCATTCGCCTGTGACCTCTGGCTTGTCACCCGCGAGAGGTGGAATTTGCCCCATAGGAGGACATCACACGCGAGAGGTGGAATTTCCCCCTAGGAGTCCAAGGCCACCACCCCAGGGGTCAGGGAGGGGGGGTCTGCCCCCCCATTGCAGCTGATGGCACCAGCGGCCATTGCAGCTGATGGCACCAACGGCCATTGCAGCTGCCAGCGCTGGCGGTCATCACTTTTTAAAGATCTGGGGGAGCCGGAATGACCTCTCGCTGTTGCCGCTCGGACATCACACGCAAGAGGTAGAATTTATCCCTAGGAGTCCAAGGCCACCACCCCGGGGCTCAGGGAGACGGGAAGTTTCTCGACCCCCCCCCCCCATTGCCGCTGACCGCCGCGGAAGACCTGGGAGAGCCGGAATGACCTCTTACTGTGATGTCCGAGCAGCAATGCAAGAGGTGGAATTTGCCCCTAGGAGTCCAAGGCCACCACCCCAGGGGTCAGGGAGGGGGGGTCTGCCCCCCCATTGCAGCTGATGGCACCAGCGGCCATTGCAGCTGCTGCTGCCCATAACTTTTTAAAGAGCCCCTAACAAGACCTGGGGGAGCCGGAATGACCTCTCGCGTGTGATGTCTGAGCGGCTGGGACATCACAGGCCAGAGGTGGAATTTGCCCCTAGGAGTCCAAAGAGTCCGGGGCTCAGTGAGGCGGGGAACGTTTCTCGCACACACACACACACACCCATTGCAGCTGCCGGCGCTGGCGGCCATAACTTTTAAAAGAGCCCCTAACGAGCGCTAGCGGAGCCGGGTGCGATCACTACTTGAAGCACTACTACAGAGACGCAGAAACAAGACACCGCGCATGTGCTTAAATGCTGGCGGGTGGGGGCGGCTGCGCACAGCGAGCGTCCTCGGCGCAAGGAGAAAGCTGGGCGGTGCCCGCTAGTGCGCGTGCGCGAATGTCAAAGCCCCGCGATCATGAAGACCACTTTGTGTTTCCCGCAGTTAATAGGAGAGGGCGGAGGTGAGCCACTGCGCTTGCGTTACCCTAGGGGCGGGTGAGGTGAGGCGGTGTGTGCAAAGGTTCGGAGGGCGGCGCCACGGCGTTTGCGCCACTCGGCAAGCGAGCGGAGGATGAACAGTAAGGAAGGGCAAGAGGAGTAGGATAGGATCTCGTCGAGGGGAAGGTTGGGGAGGGGGCTCTGGTCTGCTTGTGGGAAGGGTGTTTTTATCTGCATTTAACGGTGGCAATAAGCAGGCGT